CACTATTAAACTGGAATTGCAAACAGCCCCTTCCTTAGAAGGAGGTAGTGAAATTTATTTGGCCACCTGGCTGAGGGAAAATAAAAAATAACTCTTCATCAACATAAACAAACAAACAAAATAACGGGACTGACGTCCCTTCTACAAATGGGTCTCTTTCCCTTGTCTCTCTCTCTTTCTCATACAATCCCCATTCCTGACACGGTGCTGGTTTCCCTCACATGCAGAAAATTCATTTTGAGAAGGACCAGATTTTGTGAGCCATAGAATAGAAAAATTTAACTAATTTGGTCCGCTGAATTTACGAGTTCTGCAATTCTCAAAGCTACTCTTTCCACCCCTAGAACTTAAGTGCAATCAGTTGGCTGTTTGGCTGATACTGGCTAAACCCTCCAATGGTCTCAACAGCAATACTGACATGTCGTGCGCCCTCAGGATTCTCTAGAACCAGCTTGGACATGCTCCAGAGAACTTGGAATAAAAACTACTGCCTGTTTTTTCAGGCTGCCTTCTGTACAAACAACCAAATGAAAGCTAGGGGGAAATCTTACACGAGGCAGCATCACACTTATCACTGATGGAAGGACCTTACTTATAGATGCTAAAACATTAGTCTCACCCTAAGAATCCAGCAAGGCTTAAAAATACTTTGAGTGTCCTGGTGTACAATCTTCTCTGTTCCTTCTTAAAAGCATTCTGGTAATGCAAAGTAACAAATAGCAACCCCTGAGGTGCGTTGCCACTTCCCCTCCACCTCCACTTCTCAGAAGTCACCTTGGACTTAGAATATTTGGAGTTAGAGAAGGCCATGGAGATTGTGCAGTCCAGCCCCCCTCATTTTGTAGAGGAAGAAACTGAGATGCAAAGAGGCTATGATTTGTCCAAGGTCCAAGTAGTAGATTCATGCTTTGCACTCAGGTACTCTGAGTTTAAGCACAATCCTCTTTCCACTGTACCGCAGTCCCTCAGGTGTGTTATCTTGGCCGAATTCCCCTCTCACAAAATGCAAGCCAATCCTAACACAGGTACCCATCCCACCAGCCTCTCTCTTCTTCTGTATTAAAATGTTAAACTAGTAAAATGTCACAAAGATGGTGCCCAAAGGCCCAGCCAGTATTGTAAAAAACACTTACATCAGAAAAGATCCAAGCTTAGTTACTTCCTACCATTAACCATGCCATTTGATTCACATACCTTGGAATGCCAAAGGTAGAAAGGGAGAGAGATGGGGAGAGAGAGAGATAAAAATTGCATTAGGACTGGAGATACCTACTGTAAATCAGCCCCAATTCCAAAGCTGGAGCAGTGGTGAGCAGTTAAAGAGTTACAGGGGGAGCGGGAAATGGGGGAAAAATGTTAAGAAAAGGAAATTTGGTTTTATATCGAGAAGGGTAAGGATTGTTCTCATTTTTAATTCAGCAGATCAAGAGAATGGAGGTGATTTATAACAAAGAGAAGGCAGTGACTATCCTTGTGAACTCTCTGGTTTTACTGCTCAGTCAAACCTAATTTCAAAACACTAATGCTTTTATTTAAACACCACATCCTGCAATAAAACTTTAATGTAAAACAGGGACTTATCGAAGGGAAGAGGCTGCGGCATTTCTGTGGTCGGTTTGCAAATCTCTGTGGCCTCCTATTTCTGTGGCCTTGCTATTTCCACTCATTGTGGCCGGAGTCTTACCCTAATGGGGACAGAAATGCTCTTTCCTGGGACAAATACCCACTAGATGCAAGCTCTCCTATGCCTATGGTGGGACCAAAAAGCAGACGCCTTCTCTTCCTATGAAGTTTCACCTAGTTGTCATAAGATAAAAAATATCTACATATATATATGTGTGTGTGTGTGTGTATGCACACTATATGTATGATATACTATATATTATATATAGAACAAGATATACAAAAGCCATATACAAAACATAACATATGGTGCATGTGATATGCTATACGACAGGCTAGAAAATGCAGGACATGTAAGATATACCGTAAGCTATGTGATATCTATGCATATATGTGCTGTGATCTATGATGAAATATACAAGGCATGCTATGAGCAATATGTGATGGGTCATGTACCTGGCATATCAAGCATTTTAAAGTTTCAACATGGATTGGCCTCATGGCCCTCTTTCAATGTGTTGCTTGGCCTGGGCCTCAGCTGATGGGACGACATAGCTGAATCCCAAACCTAATGGGTCTCAGCAGAAAGAGGAGGGGGCTAACCACCTGATCTCCCTTCTCCCTCTCTACCTATCTCCATCTACAGGAGTTAGCATTTGGTTGAAAGTTCCCAACTCTAGGTGGGGCAGATACACCTGTTGGAGGTTCCAGAGGCCAGGCATGCCAAAGATAGTTCCGAAGAGCAAAGATCACATGATATGAAAAAAAAATCCTAGTGGCTGCCAGACAAATATTCTCCAGGCTGAAATAACTGACCCTCTCCTACTCTGCTAATACCCTGCTATGCCCAGCATACCTGAGGACACCATTTTCCCACAGCAGCCAGGACCTGCAAAAGCAATACCTCTGGAGCCATAAGAAACAACAGAAATTCCCCCACATTCTGTTGAGATACTGCAAAATCCTCCTGCGGCTCAGCTTACTTCTTCCCAGAGAACACTGTCCCGGTAGCAAGGTCCTTTCTATCTGTCTCTTCCAGGAATCCTTCCTCTCAATTAAGATCCTCTTACTTAAGCAGAGGGAATAACTGACCACTGGGTGGAAAAGGGGTACTTCAGTAAAATCTAGATCCTGGATTTAGCTTTATCTCTTGGGTAATATAGATCAGCTCAGAAGCGCATTGTGGTACCCATAGTATAAAATTCAGATTTACTTCCATGATAAGTACCAAGCCAGGGAGAAAGTCGGTTGCGTTCTCTCTCTCTCTCTCTCTCACCCCCTCTGAATATGCTGGGACAGTCAGGCAGCAATTGAGGGCAGCATCTTCATATCAAGTGCAGGGTGTTACTTTAGATTTCACATCATTCTAAAGCTACTGATTCCAGTAACAGCAAGTCTCCCCCTACTTTGTTGGTGGGGATAAAAAAAAAAGTAATCTAAATTTAATCTGGGGAAATGCAGAGAGAAAATTATTTTGGTGGTGACAGAAAATCATTTTGGGGGCTTTTGATTTAGAATAACCTCTACCTGAAAAACTCTCGTAATACTGGAGTTCAGACTCTTGTGTATGGCATGTTGGCTAATATTCTTCTGAGCTGCCTTGAGTATTCCCTCATCCAGAGACTATTAGTACTTAGCGTATTAAAAAAATAGAAGCAAAAATGATGATAGTTAAAAGTATGGTCTGTACTGTGATTAGTGCACAGATAGATTATGATTGAGTCTTAGATAGAGACTCTGGGGGTTGTGGGTGTTGGATTCCCTAATCACTTCCTTTTAGTGCTTGGCAAGTGTGACATTAAGTGGCACAACTCATTTGTGTCTTTGCCAGGGTGGAAAGTGATCATGTCTGAATGTAAGAGTGAAAGACACAAGTACACATTGCTCTGGGTTTTGAAAGTCTTTGACTCCTCTCTCTCTCTCTCTCTCTCTCTCTCTCTCTCTCTCTCTCTCTCTCTCTCTCTCTCTCTCTCTCTCTCTCTCCCCCCCCCTTCCCTTATCTGTTTGACTCTATATTCTACATTTCTCCCACTAGTTGTAGAAATCATCCCACTCTGCTGATGTTTAGACTCCTGTAGGCTAAAGGTTGGGGGAAGGGGACAGGAATGGAGAAGAAGAGCACAGAAACCTGCAAACCCCCAAGATCTAGCACTTGACCCGGGTCCCTGCAAACACCAGAAGCGGACAACGGGCTTTCTTCTGGTGTTGCCTTTCCAAGCGCCTGCCGCAGTCAGCACGTTGAATATTTAATGTCCTGATGAGCATTTCCACCTGCTGACACAGGCAAAGTGACAGAACAATACAGCCACTGGAACAAGATCATCAATTGACTCCCCAGTCAGTCTGCCATGTCAGGCATTCCAGAACCAAAATCTGTCTGTCTCTTTCTCCCTTGAACACGGGGCACCCTGCTCCCATGAGAGAGTTTCCCTACCGGAAATACATACTTCTTTACATTCCATAGCTTAGCACGTTCATATGGGCATATAAAGTAGTATGTTTCTCAAGCAGGTAGTTTTCAATATGCGCATTTATATGTTTGAAGAGGAAGATAGCACTGCTTTGGAATTCAAACGCCATGTATACTTAGTGGTGGCTTGGTCTAATGCTGCTGAGTTACTGCCCCATTTCCATGACATCTTCCTCAAAGCCTCCTGCTACACACACACACACACACACACACACACACACACACACACACACACACACACACCCCTTTTCTATGACTCATCTCCAATAATCCACAGTTGTTCTTTTACTTTCTTTTTTTTCTGATATCTGTCTGTGTCCCTATATACACATATATAAAAAAGTGATGCCTTTGACAGAATTCTGAGAAATCCAGCAGTTTATCCATTTCGTAACTAATTCTCATGTACAAAGGAAGAGAAACATGACAAAACCTCTCATTTCCCCCTGAAAAGTACATATATTTCACACTGAAACTTTTAACTACACAGAATATACACACAAAATACATGTAGACCATAGCAATTCTCTCCATGCCCACCCCACCCCACCCCACCCTCACTTCCACATTAATAATTAGAAGGACTAAGAAATAAAGATTTGAAAGAAAAGATCCAGAAACTCTGGAAAATCACAATTCTTTCTATTTCTCAGATGAAGACTTTAGTAAAAAGGGAAGAGTAAACAAAAACTAGTCCTTTCCCCTGTCCTGCAAAGCTTAGCACTTGCCCATCCAGAATTCAAATGTACAGTTTACAACTTAGACAGCAACACCAAGCTGCCTCCTTCTCATACTGAGGTTAGAAATTCTTCTGTTAAAGACAAAGGATTCTTTCAGCAATTGACTGGGACTAAGGAGAGAGAGGGTATTAAAAAGACAGCTAAATATTGTAAACAGAAGCTCTTACCTAGTAAGTCCAGGATTTCTTCTGCCTCCCAAAGAGCCCCAGAAAGAGAATGTCTTCACTTTCTTTATTTCTTTCAGTGTTAAGAAAAAGCCACCCAGTTGAACTCTGTAGCAGCTGAGGCCGGTTGTGGTTTACCTGACAAACTGTCAAATCGAAGGTTCATAAGAACAACTGGAAACCTGGATATGTGAGCTTAGGCCAGAGTAGAAGTCAAGGAGTTACTCCTCAAGCACTCGTGTGTGCTTGTGTGCACCCACCCATCTGCGCCTTTCTTCTCTCTGCACCTCCCTTCCCTCTCCCTCCCACCTCCTCTCTCTCTCTCTCTCTCTCTCTCTCTCTCTCTCTCTCTCTCTCTCTCTCTCTCTCTCTCTCTCTCTTTCTCTCTCCTTTTTCATCCCCTCCTTCTCCCTCTTTTTTCCTCCTCCTCCTCTTTCTCCTCCTCCCCTCCCTCTCTTCTTTTTCTTCCCCATCCCTCACACTTTGCGCCTTTTCACTCATTGCCTTCTAACCCCTCTGAGCTCTAAAGCTGTTCTAACAATGTGGCCCCAGTGCCCCACTGAAAATGATGATCACACTGAATAGAAGACTATTATGGGCAGGATTTAGGCGCCCAGCAAACCAAGAGATCATTTGGGGCGCTTCCTGCTCGTTCAGCATTGCTGTAATAGTATGCTCGGACTGTCCACTCACCTGCTCCGTTTGCCTACTACCCCAGCCAGAGCCCTCCAGATCAATACCAATTTACAGGCAAATGCAGAATGGCTGCCTTAGTGTTAATGAATTTTACCGTTTCTCACAGTCTTCTAATGAACCCTTTAAAGAGGGTTTAAGTAAACTTAGCAAGTGGTAAACTAAGCACTTTGGAATACTTAATTATATCGATGGGTTTTCCCCTGCATTTTAAAATTTCTCTGTGAGCAGAGAAAGAAATGTTGCCCCCATCCTCCATCATCATATATAAGCTCTGACAAAGCCAAATAAAAAATAAAAGGGGAAGGGGGGAGCATCTCAGAGAGATATGGGCGAGCTTCCATTCCCATCCCCAAGCTTAGTTCCTGACCAAGCTGGAAAGTAACCAGACTACAAGTAAATCTGGTACCTAGGAGTTTATTGAGCAGAATAAAGAAGGAAACTGCGAAGTGTGTGATAACACTTAAACCCCAAAAGGATTCGAATGGTTATCACTCTCTCTGCTCATTGCATGGAGTCAGATTAACTCTTTGGGGGTGGGAGGATGGGGAGAATAAGAGCTGGGTGAAGACCAGGAAGTCCTGTCCAAAGAATCACTTAAAAACAAAAAGTATGGCTGTAGTTGGGTAAAGGTTGGGGTGGGGGAAAGGGTGAGACTTATTAGGAAAAGGAATTGAGTTAGGGATTTGGGGGCTGTACTCTGAAAACAATTGGACAAAAGCAAGAATCCAGTGCAGCTGGTCTTCCTTAGCTTTAATTAGAGGAAAATTCAATAAGAGAATTAGAAATGTTTTGAAGGTCAAGGAAGCTAACCCAATTGTCACTCCTCTAGAATTACTCTACCCAGTATGGATAACCGCCCTTCTCCTGAACTGCTCACACATCCCTAGGATCCCTACATAGCAAATACATCTTTCCCACCACCAACACCTCCAGTGAAGAACTAATTGCTCAATGAGAAGGCTGTTTTGTAAAATACCACTCCCCCCTGCAATACACAGATACCTCAGCCCTGCAAAGTCTTTCCACTGGTGTGTGAAATGGGCAGGGTGGACCTTTCAAGTATCTGAGGATGATCTAGGATGAGTAGGTCAGAGTTTCCCACAAGAAGGAGATGAGGGAGTGCATTAGGGCTCTGAAAGGCACCCCTACCTCCCATTTAAAAAGGAAAGAGCCATTTGGCAGGATGGAACAGAGAAAAGATCTGCTGTCCCATTTACATTTAGGCACTGTTATTTATCATTTTCATCCAGTCAAGGATAAAAAAGGGCAACTTAAACAGCATGTTCCTGTTACCCAACTTTTCCTTCTGCATCTCCAATGATTTAGCTGAGACCCTTGCATGATAATGTGAGCTGAAGTCTAGGTGAGAAAGAATCCTCAATGTTCAGTCTCCTGACAAATGAGAAGTGTGAGCAAGCTGAGGGGCAAAGGAGGGCAGGGAGCCAAAGAAGGTGGAGAAGGCAGACTAGGCAAGGGGAAAAGAAAGTAAGTGTGAGAAATCGTAGTGAGCAGATGTTTTCCCAGCTCTAGATTTCTCCTGTGCCCTCAACTCCTGACCTCCATATTGACAAGGGTTAGTTAAAAATGTTCCCTGGCCAGCTGAAACTTTGGAGAGATCAGACTAAACAGGAGAAAATCCCTCAATCTATAAGGGGAAACCTGAAGTTTCAGCAAGATGCCCACATGAACCTTTTGCTCACTCTCAAATTAAACCTAGTTCTTTTTTGAAACAAAGTTCCACCTCGTGACATGAAAGGTGTACCAAGCGGTTTCCCGGCCAGTAATGCAACGGACCAATAAACCCAAGAATTACAATGTCCTTTAAATTGCACAAGGCTGCTTAGACTATAAATACTCACTGAAAAATATACTACATTCTGTGTATGTGGGAGTCATGCTAAGTCAAAGAGACACCCTGTATATATCAAACCTCTCTGGTTCAGAGTACGTGAATAAGTGTGTGTCTGTGTGTGTGTGTGTGTGTGTATGCACATGTGTGTGCATGTGGCACACACACATTTCCCTACATGGGTGTAATTGTACATACACCAGCATATTGAAAACCTACACCCCACAACACATGAGCTTTGCATACTTGAAGCTTGGGGACTCTAGGCTGATATAGATAAGACGGGCTTAGGAGACCGAGGCCCACTCCTGTCTTCAGAAATAGCTATAGTCTGTGCAGTGGGGTGTTCCCTGCCTCTACCATTCCTTAAAGTCAAACTGTGATCCCTTCTTCTAGATCTCATGTGGCTCCTCCAGGCAGTCTCACATTGGCTACGAATCCCTCTGCTCATCGGCATTACAATGGTTAAGGACCGCAGTACCAGGAATGTTGCAAGTTGGGCTGTAAGTTGGAGCCACGTTCCTGTTCTAGCACTGGGTGGAATTGCCAGAGCTTGGAGCCCGTCAATCATACTCTTCCCTGACCACAGCCCCCCTCCCCCACTATCACCCCCGCTATGACAACCCCAAACATCCCTCTAGCTGTCACTAGCCTGCACTTCTAAACCAGGGAACACAGACCGCCAGAAGCCTTACAAAATGATTGTGTGTCAAAGTTCTTACATTTGAGTTTAAAGCATTCGAGCTATTGCTGGCTCTGCAGTTTTTAAAATGCAGAGGATACCGCACACCAAAGAGAAAACTCCTAACCCACCCCATAGAAAGACACACACACATACACACACACGCGCGCGCGCGCGCTGCCCCCAGTGCAGTGAGGCACATAAGCATACATAGACACACATCCCTGTCCCCCTCCCCAATCCCAGGCAAGTTTGCTGGAACCGATAAGTCCTGCCTGAGCTGGTAAGTGTTTTAAAAAAAGAAAAGAAAAGAAAAAGAAAGGAAGGAAGGAAGGAAGGAAGGGAAAAAAGAAAAAGAAAGAAAGAAAAAAAGAACCGAGCTAAGCTGGTGCCATTAGAGGAAAGAGAGAAAGACGTACCAGTGAGGAGATTCTGTTGCAGCAGGGGAGCCTCCAGAGCGCTAGCTGAATCAGCTTTAAAGAGTTAGGGATGCATGGAGGAGGGTCACGGCATCGCAAGGTAATAATGCGCTGGATGCTGCAGCCATCGGCTTCCTCCTATAGGCAACCTCTAATGCAGGGAGGGAAAGAGAGCAGGCCCAGGGATGGCATTAGTCCTCACTTGGAGAGAGGGGGGAAACACATACACATACGAAAGAAGAACAGGCAAACAAACCCTGTCTCTTCCCCTAACACGCACACTCCCTTCCCCCACATGCACCTCTGTATCCCCTCCTCTCCCCCTCCCCTCCCACCAGACACCACCACCACTCAGCCCTCCTGCTGCAGCGCAGACTTAGCAAAGGGAGGGAGGTCTTTAAAGCTTACAACTGAGAAAGAGAGAGAGAAGGAGGGAGAGAGAGAGAGAGAAGAGAGAGAGAGAGAGAGGAGAGAGAGAGAGAGAAGAGAGAGAGAGAGAGAGAGAACAAGAGAGGGAGAGAGAGGGAGAAAGCAGGAGGGAGGAAAGAGAACAGACAGGAGGAAAAGAAAGCAGGAGTTAAGGAGAAGCAACCCTGCGTGCTGGGATTACCGCACACCTTGATGTATAAAGGCTGTATCTGCAGAAGTCTCCCCTCACCCTCTCCTCCTTCTTCCCCCCCATCCCGTCCTCTTCCCCCCCCCCAACCAAGAGGGGGTCACCATGAGGTAGAGGTCAGGTTGAAACAAAGAGTATCGCCTGCCCGCATGCTCACACACAAATGGGGGGGGAAGGGGGGAGGGGGATGTTTCCTTGTAGGAATAGGGAAGATTGGGGGGTTTAGGGGGAACCTCTGATCAGAAACCAAGTTCACCTTTCTAGTGCTTATATACCCAGCTAAGCATCTGAAACATGCAGTCCCAGCCAAGTGGCTCCTTCTCATGCCATTCCCTCCCTGACCATATTTAGTCAACCATGGGAAAAAATAGACTGTCAGCTGCGGACAGCCGAACAGGGAGTGCTGGGAGTTCAATCGCTTCTCTCAGCTCATTGACTACTAGTCCTGCAGAGCCCTGAGTCTGGCCCCCTTCCCCACCCCACCCCCCTTGCTCTCCCCTACTCTCCCCACTGCTATTTTTAGACAGGCCAAATAAAGAGGCATCTAGGCTTACAGGCCTGGGCTGTCCCAGGCCTTCACCAGGCCCCTACTATGTATGGTCAGTGAGAGACAGCCGGGAGATATCGACAGAAAAGTGTGTCGATTTTGGGAGACCTGTCTTGTGAAGGGCCCCCAACTGCCCCTCCCCCATCTGCTGGAAATGCTATCAGGGAGGAGATGAAGGATGTTGAAAGACTATTGATTTTTGTCATTGGGAGCCAACAGGCTGTGAGCCAAGTGTGTCCCACTAAGGGGGTTTCCTATCCACCACTTCTCTGACTCTTGATGCCAGCTTTGATCCCACTCCTCCCATCTCCCTCTCAGTATGCTATGTTCACGATGAACATGGACTAGGTGCCAAACAGATCCCTTTCTCTGCTTTGTTTTTGGAGATTCTGGGGTCAAGAAAATGAGAGTCAGTTGTTACTTTCTGGGTTTGCTGAGTGATCTGGTAAATGAAGATACCAGGTCACCTCGGTGACCAAAAATAATAAATATGCTGAGGTCCATGCATAATGAAAAGATGCATTTGCTTGCTTACCAAGCCCCAAATCTGTGCTGCTCATTAGGCTAATGATCTTTTTCCCCCTAATGTGTTTCACAGGGCTAAGTTGTATAATTGGGATCATAACAGCCAGCACATACCCCACCATCTATTCATTCTCTTGATGTCCAGATCTGATGACCACATTTAGTTCAGTATACAGTCAACTCTCAGTTCATTCTCCATAGTCCAAAGGAATGGAAGAGAAACACAGACGTGGGTAACCATCAAATCATTTCTACTTTAAGTTTAATAAGTCAGTGTGAGGCCTTCAGGGATCCTGGTGTATGGTTTAGTGATCCCTGTTTCTATTTGAGTTTGAAACTACTAGTCTAAGATATTTTGTGTTACTGGAAAAAAAAAGGGGTCCTCCTTAATTCTCCAAGTCATCAGTTAACAGAGGTGGGAGGAAGGGGTTTCCTGCTATTGAAACGTAGAGAAGCGGATCTAGAAATATTTTTAATAAGGAAACAGTAACATGAATAATTATGGGACTGGTTTTAGGGGTTTGTTTTTTTTTTCAGTTTTGTCATTCTGATTTTCCTTTGCTCAAGTTAACACCCAAAAGACATTAGGTAGAAGTAATAGGATACCTAGATTTAATCTGACCCACATTTTAAGGACCTACTATGTACAAGGCATTGTGCCAGGCAGTGGGGCTACAAATTAAAAAATGAAGCAGTCTCTTTTCTCAAGGAGCATGCAAGTGTTAACAGAGACAAGAAGAAGAAATATTTTTAGTTGGGTTTATACAAAACCCTGAACTGGGCACAGGGAGATTCAAAATTCAAATAAGACATTGTTCCTATACTCAAAGAGCTTTCAATATGATGGGGGAAATAAGACACCAACACAGAGAAGTATAATACACAATATTACATGATAAGTGCATGAGAGGGGTTATAAGCCTTGAAAAATCAGAGGATCAGATCAAAGGCTAGGATCAGAAACAACTGAACTCCATGTTTGATAAACCAAAGAAAAGTAACTACTTAGGAGAGGACACTCTATTAGAAAAGGGCTGCTAACAAAACTAGAAAGAAGTTTGGCAGAAAGTAGAACAGCCCATTACACCACACACCAGAATAACTTCCAAATGTGCATGCAACCTAAATATAAAAAGCCACATCATTGAAAAAAAAGATGAAAATGTAAAAAGACATCTTTCATAGCTATAGTTAAAGGACTAATTATTTTTCAACTGTGCAATCATTATATAACTCGTATAAATTGTTCTCCTCTTCTGCTCAGTTTAATCTATGACAATTCATGTAATATATACATATAACATATGCATACATGTATGTGTATATGTGGTGGGTGTGTGTGTGTGTGTATAAAATTCTTTGACCATTTATCTACTGGAGAATAGCTTGTATTCTTATAAAACATAGCCAGGTACTGATTAGTGAAAGTAATATATTCCCTAAAGTGGTCACATGTATTCAAATTCTTATTATTTGAAGTTATAATTATATAAAATTTGGTCATTGGTTCCAGTCCAGTGGAAATGTGTAGTGAGAATTCAAATCATGTGACCTTTTCAGGGAGCTCATTATTCACATTAATCGGGACCTACCTGTATTTGAATTAATGTGCTATATATCTTAGATATCAGATCTTTATTAGAGAAATTTGATGCAAAGAATTTTTTTCTTAAATATTCCCTTTATAACTGCATTGATTTTTATAAAATCGAAGTTGTTCATTTTCTCTGCTGTGATCTCCTATATCTTTTGTTTGGTCAAGAACTTTTTAAGTGATGAAGGGAGGTACATTATTTAATGAAATAAGTGACAAAGTTGATCATAAAGAAGAAAATAGGCAATTTCAAGAAAGTAAAAATTCTAAACGTTTTCACATGAACAAAATCAATAAGGTTAGGGAAAGAAGGGGTATATAGAAAATATAGAGAATTAACACAAATAGATAAGACCAAGAATCACTGCACAGTAGATAAGTGGCCAAAGAATATGACCCAACAGTTTTTATAAATTATAAACTATCAGCGATCAAAAGATTGCTCCAAATCATTAATAAGGGAAATAAAAAATTAAAACAACTCCGAGGTTTTGCCTCACATGTAGAAAATTAGCAAAAATGCCCCCCCCCCAAAGTCAATGTTAGAGGGGCTGCAGGAAGAAAGGTGCACTGATATGCTTTTGTTGGAGCTGTGAATTGGTTCCATCATTCTGCAAAACAATTTAAAATTATGTGAAAAAAATCAGCGTTTTTAAGTGTTGACTCAGAGTTGTATATTTAAGGAGGTAAAAAGAGAAAAGAAAGAAAGAAATGTTCTATGGATAGCAAAATACTCAGGACAAGACTTTTGATGGGAGCAAAAAAAAATAGTAAAAACAAAGTATATGCCCATCAATTTGGGAATGGATGAATACACTGCAGCACAGAATATTACTGTGTATAAGAAAATATGTATATGAAAAATTTGGGAAAAACATGGGATGACTCACGAGTTGGTGCAGAGTGAAATAAGTAGAACCAAGAAAAACTACAGATGCAAAACTACAATAACTTAAATTTAAAAAAAATTAAATTAAGTCAAACGTTGTATAATTGCAATGACTGATCTTGATCCTGAGAAGAGAAATGCACTTTGCTTCTTTCTTTGAAGACTTAGGGTACTAAAGTTGTGGATATTTGTATATGACATGAGAGCTGGCTTCTGTGTTCCTTGATTTTATTTCACCATTTTTCTTTGTAACAAGGGAAGACTCAGTGGGTTGGCATAAAAGAAGAGAAATAAATGGGGGAGGGATATGTATTCAGAAATGACTGTGACATGAGAGCAAAACACATAAATATAACTTTTTGGTTTTGTTTAAAGAATAGATAGGAATTCAACAGGCAAAGGGGGAAAGATGGGCATCTCGGCAGAGGGGAAAAAATGTAATGAATGGAGCACAAAGCCATAAAAACTCAGTGCTTGTTCAGAAGACAAAAAACAGTCCAGTTTAGCAGGAACATCAAATAATAGAGAGAAGTGGTATGAAATAAATCTATAAAAGGTGGGGTGGGGCCAGATTTTAGAGCACTTTGAATGGTAGGGAGAGAGTAACCTGAGAGTGAACATCTGCCACAGATAACCCAGAATGGATAAGCCACATATAGATAACAAAGAGGGTCTTTCCAAGGGAGACTCACTATTCTGGTGGAAGAAGGGGTGATGACCAAAGATACAGAGAAGGGTTGGAGGTTGAACATCATTACTCTGTTTGTCAGAGAATTTTTACGTTCTTTCACCTTTGAGCAGATAAAAGTGTTTCTGATATGCCTTCCCTAACTTCATATCCTTCTCTCCTGCCATCCTTCTTCCCCACTCCTTTCTATCCTCTCCTTCCCTAAATGGGGTTAGGGATAGGACAAGAGAAGTGGGAAGAGAGCCATTCTGTTTCCTCTATTCAGAACCTATAGGACCACTGATTAATAGAACATCAGAATGGGAAGGAATTATGGGTCATCTAGCTCAACCTTTCATTTTCCTGTTGAGGAATTTGAAACCTAGAGAAGGGAAGAGGTTCCCTAAATTCACATTAACATGTAGTAGAGGCAGGATTAGCATCCAAGATTCCCAACTTCCCGCCAAAGGATCTTCCCATTAAACCATTCTGCCTTGTTTTGGGTTAGAAAAAATGTATTTACAGGCGCTTGCCTTCAATGTTGGATGGTATGCTCCCAACCCCTCCTCTAAATAGAATAGATGCTCCTTGAGGGCAAGGATGGGGCTATTTTTCTCTTTGTAGCCTTACTATTTCTCAAACTTATTGTAGTACTAGAGATATAGTAGACATTTGAAATTTTTTTCTTGGAATGAATGAATAACTGAATAGTCTTGAGATTGCACCAGAATGACTCCAAAAAAAAAAATCACAGGGAAAGACTCAGAGGATGAAGTGACTGTGTGGACAGATTTCTCAGGCACTGTTTGGTTTGTTTAGTTTTTTTTCTTTTTAAATAATGATAGCATCACTACAAACATGAAGAATGAGATTGTGCTAAACAGGAATTTTCATCAATCAGGTTGTTTAATAACCCTCTCTTAATGGCAGCAGAGCATTTAGTAGAGTCTTGAAATTGCCATGAGGTCACTTGGCCATTTTTTAAAAACCAGCTTTTAC